GATTATCTCCAAGGCATCTGAGAATCAGGAGACTGGGTAATTAAATGAAAAGATTATTTTATCTGACAGGATTTTAGTTACCTAAAATTTGAAGGGTCACTTAACACTTATCAATGCTCATTCACAATACATACATTTGAAAATTCACTTTCCGTCAGTTAATTTCACTTCTACAGTTAATACTTGGAAAGGCATTCTAACAAGTCAAGTTCTGAATATTTAACTAGGTAACACTGTTCAGTGTTTGTGCTGAACTGCCATCAAGGAGACCATCAATTATAGCATTTACTGGCTGATTTGATACCAGTCATTGTCCATTCACCCTTCACAAGACTATTGTGGGGTAAAATAAATACCACACTTAAGATAATTCAATATTGGTTCCAGTTGTTTGATAAATTAATTTATGATAAACTTAACAGCAGGTAAATATAATGATTTCCAATATTTTTTATTCCCAGATTACCCAGTCATAATTATTTAACTGGACAATTGCCTTTTAGAAGTGTTTGTTTTCTAGTTATCAGTACAGCATTCTAAATGCTTTTAATTTTACACACCACTCACCTTAAACATATACCTGAAAAATCAGGCACCATTATTGATACTCAGACTTTTAATCACGTACAAGATTTTCTCTTCCTGATTTCTTTTGACAAGTTTTTTTGTACACCAATGGCTCTTTCATGTCTGATTATTAATTGTAAATTATTCTGACTTTGTAAATATCATTATTAGCACAATACTAAAATAAAAATGTTTTGCAGATTAACTGTAAATTGGTTTGAAAGCAGTACTACCAAAAATAAATGCAAAAGAACCCCATTTTAGGATCTTATATCTTTGCTCTTGCCAATAGTTTAATATTGAGAAAAAATCATCTCGTAGATTATTTAAATCTTCATTTATTAGGTGAGAATACAAATAATCACTTTGATTTTTGACTCTGTGCTTGTGCCTTCAGTACTTTGACAACAATCTTCTGTTCCTCAATAAGGAATGCTCTCTTGATTCTAAAAAAAAAGCAAAGCATTGTTATAATTCAGCAACAAAGCCATATCACAATCA